CTGCCTCTCTTGATTGCATCATTTTCTTTTGTGCTTGATTTAATCTCATGTTGTTTTGTACAGTAACATGCTGTACAGGTTTGTACCTAGGAGCAATAGGCTAGACCATATAACCTAGGTGTGTAGCAGGCTATATCATTTAGGTTTGTTTAAGTGCACTCTATGATGTTTGCACAACAACAAATTCGCCTACTATGCACTTCTTAGAAGGTATACCCATCACTGAGTGGCCCATGACTATATAGATAGAGAAAGAGCTAGAGACAGAGAGATAGATTCTGTTTCTCTGGAGAAGCCTAACTAATACACCCTCCCAGGAATGTCTTAACCCTTACCTCTAGCTCCAGTTGTCCCCTCAAAGTCCACACCACCTCCACATTGCTGATTCCAGGGCCCACTTCTCTCCCCCATCTTACTATATATCTCAGCACCACCTTACACTCTGAAACATTCCTTCCTTTTTAAAACTTTCTACTCTTTTGGCCCTCAGGTTCCCTCTACCCTGGCTCTTTTACTTGTCTCTGGCAATACCTCAGGCTCTTCCAAGGCTCCTCTCTTTTTGCTTGCCTCTTAAGTGCTGGTGTCCTAGTATCTCACCGGTGTGGGCCTGACCTTGCTCCTCAACTTGCTTCCAACCACACAGGCAGACATATGTCCCCTTAAATGATTCCTGGGAAGGCAGGGTGGTCAACCCAACAACCCTAATATGGGTTGGGGCACTTGTGTGTTGAGAAACAATTCTCTATGACTATCTCAGTTTCTTCGTGTTCCAAGTTAAAGCCAAGTTAAGAATGTTGGTATAAGGAGACATTCCCAGATAGTAAGGCTTACAGAAGTCTCCCTCCCTGTAGCCAGTTTAGAGTAGTAAAGAGATTGGCTTGCATGCCAGGGCAATTGCTCTCTTTAGACGGGAGAATAGGCTGGTCACTAGCAGCACTATAGAAGATGAGAGTTCCTAAAATTTGGGATTCCTCTCCTGTGATGTACCCTCTTGCATGTGCAGATACCATCTGGCCCCCTATTGGTCAAACAAGTTCACAGGGCCAGACCACATTCAAGAAGAGGGGAACAGACTCCACCTCTTGATGTGGGTATGCAAGGTCACATTGTAAAAGAGCATGTCACCCTGTGGAGACTGGGGTTCAGGGAATAGTTCCAAGATTTTGCCCTGGCTGTAGCTTTTGCTGTGAACAATAAACAGTCTTTCTGTCAGTGTCAGAGTGTATCAACAGGTTAAATTTTTTAGCTTGCTAGTATAGGAAAATCTTAGACCCTCCAAAGCTGCAGACAGAATAGGGAGGAACACCTTTCTTGCAGGGTGAAGATGGTTTGGGCATGGATTCCCAGCTGAGTGGGGGGGTGGGGCTAAGAAGGGGGCATTACTTTTTTGGGCCAGATACCAAGAGCAGTGTTTGGGTGCTCTGTTGCTGCATCAAAAAACAAATGATAAACCTCCCTAAAACCTAGTAACTTAATACAGCAATTTATTATTTTTTCAAAAATCTGGAATGAATCACCAGCTTCACATGGTATTGGCTGGGCCTCTGGAATAGCTGGAAGGCCTGAAATGGCTTCACTCACATGGCTAGCTATTAGTGCTAGTTGCTAGCTAAGGAACTTAGCTGGGGCTAGTGACTGGGAGCCTTGTTTCTCATCCTCTCCATGTGGGCCTCTCCATGTGGCTGGGGGATATTACTGAAGCTATCTGTAGAGGTACCCTCTACCACAGAGGGACCATATATAAGTATTTCTCCAAGTGCAGTGAGCGCTGCCAGCATCAGAATCCAGAATAAAGTCCAAACTTCTTAGTCTAGCATTCCAGATGCTCTATGTCTTGGCCCTGCTAGCCTTTAGTTGATCTCCTCACTTTTCTTGTGTGACTCTCTGTTCCAGAAACAATACATTTCTTGGAGTTCTCTTTCACATAAGTCATTTTACTGACTCCATACTTTAGTTCATAACTGTTCCTTCTTCCTGAAACAACTTGACTTTTTCACCTATTCAAAGACTTACTCATCCTTTAAGATTCTGCTTTGTGTCACCTTTTCTAAGAAGTCATCTTAACCCCCCCTTCTCTCAATGATTGGGCTGGGTGTTTCCACAGTCAGTGTGTTTGCACCCATCACAGCACTTACCAAACTGTAATGTCATTGTTAATTTGTCTGTCTTCTTCACTTGACTGGGAACTTCTTAGACAGGGATATGTCAGATTCTCTTTCCTGTAAGTCTTAAGTTTGCTTAACTGAATTGAAAGTCTGATAGTATCTTGGTGAATTCCTCTTTGGCCTAATCCTCCTTGAAGAATATGGTACTTCAAGCATGTTTAAAATTCACCATTTTCTTTCTGACAAATCTCAAGGCAGCTAAGATGCTTGAAGCTCCTTGTAACAAGGTGCTTGACTAAAAGTGGGTGTCTTAGTCTGCTCGGGGTGCCATAACAAAATACCAAAGACTGGATGGTTTAAACAACAAACATTTATTTTCTTCCAGTTCTGGAGGTTATAAGATTCTGGCAAGGTTTGGTGAGAGCCCTCTTCCTGGCTTGCAGACAGCTACCTTCTCACTGTGTCTTCACATGGTCTTTCCTCCATGCCTGCTTGTGGAGAGAGTGAAACCAATCTCTCTGGTGTCTCTTCTTATATAAAGTCACTAATCCCATCAGACCAAGGGCCTGTCCTAATGACCTAATCACCACCTAAAGACCTCATCTCTAATTATCATCCGTTGAGGGTTAGAGCTTCAACATATGAATTTGAGGAGGAGAGGCACAAACATTCAGTGTATAATAATGGGTTAAACATTTGACTTAACAATTTTAGAAAACCAAAACCCTGCAGGAGGTAGGTCTCGAGTGTGTCTAGAGATTTCCCCTTCTTTCCTCTCAGCCCTCCTCCTCCTGTTGCCCTTTCACCCTAGGCTCACCTCCTCTTGTGTGTAATATGACTGCTGGGGCTCCAGGCATCACATGTCAAGGTTCAAATTGAAGTTACTAAGCTGGTAGGGCAAGATAGGTCTGGGATGGGAAGTAGGAACTTCATGTCCCCAGGTCTACCTTTTATCAGGGTCACAGGTCTGCTGTCCATACCTAAGGTAATCATAGGTGAAGGGGCTTAGTCGTTATTTCCAACAAAATCTGATGTGAGTTGACAAAAGGTGACATGTTGGATAAGTGAGCCCTAGCAAAATGAACAGGGACATAAGTTTAGTCCAGGATCAGATAGTGGCTGGATTTTCATAGCATTGATTAACATCAGTTAAATGTTATTCTTAATATAAACCAAGGGCAGAAGTTCCGAGGGTGGCATTAGAACACTTGGTTGCCCTACGGGTGGCGGGAGGTGGGTTTTGTGAGAGAGAGGGGGGAACGGAGTGGGATGGAATTGCTAAAATGTATGGAATTGATCCCTCTTGGAGATGTCAAGACCAGGGATGCCAGGGGCTTGAGCTTCCCCACCCCAAAAGTTTTCTGGGAAGAAAAATTGAGAGAAGATAAATCATTTTTTTAAAAATATATTTTTATCGATTCCAGAGAGAGGAAGGAAGGGGGAGAGGGAGAGAGTGATAGAAACATCAATGATGCGAGTCATTCATTGGCTGCCTCCTGCACGCCCCCTACTGGGGATCGAGCCGGAAACCCAGGCATGTGCCTTGACCGGGAATCAAACCGGGATCTCCTGGGTCATAGGTCCATGCTCAACCGCTGAGCCACGGCCAGCGGGGTGAAACAAATTATTTTTCATCTTTGAATTTCCCTGAACTTTTCTTTTTAAACCTGTATCTCCATAGTCATTCCGGTAGTTCCCTGAGCAAAGCACGTTCCGCATCATCCGTTTGTAGATTGCGACCCCAAGTGGCTTGGGTCGTGTCCAAGTTGCTCAAGCCAGAAGGCCTCGGCCCCTAGTTCGGGCTTCACAAGCCAGAGCACAGGTGGGCTTGGGCGGGTGTGAGGGGCGACCAGATGCCTGGCCGATAGCTGCCGGCGCAGCGCCCTCCTGCGAACTCCCCACCTCCACTCCCCCACC